GTATTTGATTCCCACTCGATGCCAGACACAGGAAAGACAGAGCTGAGCAGGAACTGTCTGTGGTGGGTAAAACAATCCAATGAAGGAATGGTCACATGAATGATAAGGACAGCTTGACAAAAGAGAGGGATATTTTAAAATAAAAGGATTTCTGTTATCAGAAATATGTTAGGCTAGATCATCTAAAAACTCCTTCTACCTCAAAACACCCAGAAGTGAAGCATAAAATATCATTTTATCAAATGGTATCAAATATCCAATCGTGAGTATAGCTGAGCTCTCATGACAACAAAGGATTATCTTGGGGGCAGGGTAGGGGATGAACTAAAGTTCTGACTCCAGGAATGCCTGTGGTTCGAGATGGCTGAGGTGTTGAGTTTTAACAGCCATGTGGATCCAGGAGTTAGGTCTAGACCTGAAACGCCCCTCCCGCATGTAAAGTCAGACTCCCAGAGAGCCACACCATCAGTAAAAGGGTGGGCTGGTGAAACACTAGCACTAGGAGAGAAGAGGTCTTTCTCTTTGGGTGGGTGGGACATCTCCCCTGAAAATTCATAACCACAGGTCTACCTGTCTTCACACTTGTTAGAATTTTGAATTTACACTACTTGGACAGTTCAGAAATTCCCCAAGCTAAAAGTTGACATAAAAAGTATGCCTAGGCTAACAGTGATTGTGGGGTGCCCAGAAGAAGCAGACACAAACTCTGAAGGGTACATCTGCAAGCCAGGCTCCACAGAATTCCTATGATGAAACCTGGCTTAAAATGGGTTCACAATTCAAAATAGTAAAATTAACAACCACAAGTGAAAACCATCAGACAAAATAAAGAATGTCAGATAGGAGAAATATATAAGTAATATGAAGTAAGTGTGGTCAGAATTATTAAAGACATAAGAAATCAAATGTATGACAATATATGACTTTTTCAAAGAGGAAGCAGAATCATGGAAGATGAAAAACACAATAATTGACATTAATAGTATAATACGGATAGCGGATTAGACAGAAAGGTATTTGTGAATGAAATAGAATATAAATCTTTAAAAACTACCAGGAATGAAGCACAAAGTTCTAAAAAAAATTACAAAACAAACAAAGAGTCCCTAAGAGAGGTGCAGAATAGAATAGAGTTCTGATAAATGTCAAATATGAGTTCTACAAGGATAAAACATAATGATATAATAGCTGATAAATTTCCAGACTTGTACAAAGACCCCAGATTAGGAATGAGTTCCAATAAAGAAAAATCCACACCTAGGCACATAGCAGTGCCTTCATAATACCACAGACAAAGGGATGATCTTAAAAGCAGCCAAACAGAAAAGACAAATCATATCCAAAGGAAGCATAATTAGAATTACAGCAGACTTTTCAACAGAAGAAATGATGGGTAGAAGACAATGGAATAAAGTATTCTGAGTGAAAGTAACGTAAAGTTAGAATTCTCTACTCAGTTCAACTGTCATTCAGAAGTGACGGAAATATAACTGAAAGCTTTTACTTCTAAGATATCCTTGCTGAAAAAATTTTAAAACTTGTAATTCTGAAAGAAGAATGAACCCAGAAGGAAGGAGAAAGAGACAAGAGAAGAAGTGGTGAACAAAAATACTAGTGAGTAGGGGCGCCTGGGTGGCTCAGTGGGTTAAAGCCTCTGCTTTCAGCTCAGATCATGATCCCAGGGTCCTGGGATCCCAGGGTCCGCATTGGGCTCTCTGCTCAGCGGGGAGCCTGCTTCCTCCTCTCTCTCTGTCTGCTTCTCTGCCTACTTGTGATCTCTGTCTGTCAAATAAATAAATAAATCTTTAAAAAAAACCCACTAGTGAGTATACTGGTGAATATAAACAGCACTGATTATTATATAAGACAAAAAGATGAGTTGAGGGGGGCTTTTAAATAAGATTTAACCAAAGAGAACAATTATACAGAAGATAAGGGCAATGATGTGATTGAATTAATGCATTCAAGTTCTTCTTTTGTGTGGAAGGAGGGTGGGAATACTAATTGTTAGACTATATCAAATCAGATATGTGTGGAAAATTTTAAAGAGTAACTCCTAAAAGTATAGAAAAGGAAGAATAATAATTTTCAAATTAGTAGAAATAAGGGAATCAAGGGGAATTCCTCAAAGGTGAATAAAGAAAAAGTAATTGATCCATAGAAGAATAGAGAGAAAGGCATAGAAAAAAATAAAAATCAATAGAAAGCACAAAATAGATGGTAGAAATGAATAAAAATATATTGCTAATCACAATAAATGCAAATGGACTATTTGCTAATTGAGATAGAGATTCAACAACAAACTCTAGTTGTAGGCTCTTATAAAATCACACTCCTGAAACATAAATATTCAGAAAGTTTGAAAGTGGAAGGATGGGAAAAGATATACCAAATGAATACTAACCGAAGGAAAGTTAGTTTCGCTGTATTGGTATCAGATAAAATGAATTACAGATTAGAAGTATTATTAGAACAAAGAGTATTACTTCATAATAATAAAATGAATTTTCCCAGGAGACTACACCTATATATTTGTACACACAGTGTCAAAATATATAAAGCAAAAACTGTCAGAAATACAGGGAGAAATTGACAAACGGACAATCATAGATTTTAATACATCTTTCTTAGTAACTGATACATCAAAAGGCAAAAAGGGGTAAGATGGAGAGGACACAATAACACAATCAATAATATTGATTTAATAGATCTAACTAGATCCCTCCAGCCAACATTAGAATATATATGCTCTTTCAAAGCAAACATGGGAAAGTTTCATTTATTACATAGTTGATTACAAAGCAATTCTCGGAAAATCCATAGCAAAAAACAACATCATATATTCTCTTACCACGAGGTAAAACTCAACAACAAAAAGAACTTTAAAAAGGACCCATACGTTTTGAAGCTAGAAAGTACTTTCAAATAACCTCATGGATATAAAAAGAAATCATGAAAACTAGAAAATATTTTTAAATTGCAGCCACTTTCACATGGAGGAGTGGATAGCACCATTTATCTTTAAGAGGACGCTAGCCAGTTTGCTTGGGAAAACTACAGCTGGCTAATTCATCGAGTCAACTCACCGAATGCCCTGGCGACCAAAAGCCAAATATGATGAAAATTAAGCCAGTGGATATTGATTTGCTGCAAACCCATCTGAATTATTGAGAATTTAAAAAAAAAAATCTGTTCTATCTGCCCTCCGGCTTTTGTTCCTGTCCAGAACTGCCAAATAAACACTTTAAATGGAATTTAAGACAGTTCTCCACAATCATCTTGCAATGCAGATATAGAGGCGGGGTGCGGGGGGCAGGAATGGGGTCAGAGGTACAAATAAAACTTTAGGGTAGAGGGGTAGGAAGGTTTCTCAATCACTGGGAGAGCTGGTCATTCAGCAAATTGGCTGTTGGTGAATTAATCTTAGCCACGGCTGGCCTAGAGTCTACAAATGGGGTCTAAGCCTGGTCAGGTAGGGGGAGGTTGAGTCAAAGGTTGGGTCAAGACTCTGTATACCTCCAATAAAGGTGTGTCTTGGGTGAAGATGTTACTTTATTTAAATGAAGGGATTTTAAAGCTTAGGGATCCTGAGTCCAACGGTGGGTGTGGGGAGGCGGTGGGAGCAGGAAGCGCTGGCTGGCAGGAGGAAGTCTACCGCAGCAGGAATGTGGGTCACACGGCATAGGTAAGGGGCTGACCACAAGGCTCTATGGCCTTTAGGGATTCTGAGATCAGGTGCTGGGCTTGAAGCGTTCCTTTTCCCTGTCCTGAATCGCCTGTGGTGTCAATATTTCCTCCTCCAGTCGGCTACACAGACACCCTGCCGTCCTGTGCCCGCGATTCTTTGCGTCTGAAGGAGGGAGCTTGGCCGGCGCACGAAGCTGGGCAGTGGCTGAGAGTGTCTCCTCCCACGCCCTTCCTGGAGGCCAGGCCAAGGATGTCAGCACTGTACCCCGGCGTTCTGGGAGGTGACCAGCAAGGCCAGCGGACACCCCTGGAAGGCCAGAGCTGCTGCTTCAGGGACCAACACTGGGACTGCTGGGCGAAAAATTCTCTTTCCCCAAACATTCCAGAGACCCTACCGGGAAGGGAAGCGGGGGTAGCGGGCTCTCCGGGAGGCGGGCCTCTCCGCTTCGCTGGACCCCTGCTTCCGCCTCGCAGAGCCCGCTCAGCTCCACACGCCCACCGCCCCTGAGCTGTTCTAACCCGGGCCGAGGCTCCTAGTCCTCAGCCGGGATCCGCCCCCACCCACAGCCCGCCGCGTCCGGACCCGGACGATGGTGGGGGTGACGCCTGGTTCACTCATCACACATTTATTTGAGGGCCTCCTATGTTCCAGGAGCTTCTGGGGTCACCTAAATCGACCCAGTAGACCAGCGCTTGGTCACACGAGATGTCATGACCGGGATCGATGCTCTGGTGAGCGAGGGAGCGCGCTGGCAGATCTGGGGATACGCGGGGGTCTGGCAGCCACTCGGACCGACCCCCGACCGCGGCCCGCGCAGTCTGGCCTGCAGCCCCCTCCCCATCTCGGCGGCCGTTCGCCGCCCCCCCCCCACACCTCCCCGCGGCCTCGGAAATGGTCGGTATACGGGACGTGACCTCTGGGAGAGGCGGGTTTCATCCGAGCATCTCCACCTGGCACAGAGGATGCGCTCAGTAAATGCGGGATGATGGATGGATGATGACGGATGGATGCGTACCTCCGCGGAACACATCCGCGAGCTGGCCACCAGGCGAGACCCGGCGCGGAGTCCCTCCCGGAAGCTTCCCGGGGTCCTGAGCGAAGCAGGTGGGGAGGATGCTTCGAGGAGGCGGCCCTGGCTCCGCCCCCCGGCCCGCGCCGCGGCGCCCACTGGGACATGTAGTTCGCGCCTGCGCCCAGCCGGCCGCCGAGGCCGGGGGTCTCCGGGCGGAAGCCGGACCACCCTTCTCGGAGCGGGGGGCGCCGGAAGGCGGCGGTGTGCTCAACCTCGCCTTTCCCCCACTGCCCGCAACCCCAGCCCCGCTCTCTCCCGCGCCGATCTCGGTCGCCGCTGTCGCCGAGGGTCTCAGCACAGTCTGCGGCCGCCGCGGGCCGCGCCGGAAGCTGAGAGCGGAGGCTGAGTCCCGGAATGGCGCGCCAGGTGAGGCGAACGGGGAGGACAGACGGACCTCGGCGGGTCAGCTAGGCGTGGCGTGGGGCGGTCTCGTGGTAGGGAGGCAAAGACCCGGGGGTCCAACAACTTTGGTATCGGGCTGTGCTCGCCCCGGCGGGCCTGGTGCTCAGGATTTCGTGCGGAGAAGTCGAGGTTCTCCGACGACCCCCGGTCTCCTCCCCAGCCCTCGTCCCCCCGTCCCCTGTACGTGGAGCCTGTCCCCACCTTCGGGAACTCGTTCCTTTGGGTTACGCATCGACCTCCCTCGTCCTGGTTCCTTTTAATTACTAGTTAACCTGGGAGTCATGGGGATGAAGGCCTCAGGGGAATGAGTAAATCTGATGCTTTTATTCTTGGTAGGATCCTGGACCCTTGGGGGAGGGGACATGAAACAAGGTCCCAGGTGTTACCCATCTGATAGGGTGTGTAGGTTCTAGAGCTGGAGGAAGAGCCCCATCTGTCGTAGTCTGGGCAGTCCTGGCAAGTGTGTGCAGGGCTGGGAAGATGCCAGGAAAAATATGGTGATACCAGTGGAGAGTTGCTGCCATTCCTCTCTGGAGCCAGTTCTGTAATTTTGGTGGCCATGAACTTGAGCCAACCTCAGCCAGTTGTAGTCTCCAAGGTTTGGAGGTGGGTGGGTATTGGGATAGCGGCTGGGCTGTTCTGTGGCCGGATCTAGCCTCCCAGAATCAGAACCTCCAGTCATTCATGGCCTACAAGCTCTAGGGAGAAGCCAGGAAAAGTGGATATTGTGGAAACGGGGGCCGCCTTCCTTGCCGCCCTGGCTGTGCAGTGAAGCAGCACAGGGACACCTTGCTCAGGTGTGTCCACTGGTCCTGTGCTGGGCTCTCCTCAGGCTGCGGTTTCCTCTTCTACAAAATGAGGGATTTGGACCAGTGGTCTTTCAGGTCTGATGTTCCAAGAAGGATGCTTCTGCACACAGTGTAGCTTCACGGAGAAGGCAGCTTGGAGTAGCTTGGGGGGGCCGTAGATAACAGATGGATAGTTACCGGGAACGCCTGTCTATCTGTTGTGACTCCCCAGAAGCCCAGGGATGTGCGAGCACAGCCCAATAAGTGGGGAGCCACGGGGTGCAGGGTCCGAACGGAACCGAGGCCTGAGGCATGCAGGGAGACTGGACCCAGGCTGGGGAGAACTGTGGAATGTGGACGGGTCCTGTGCGCACGGAAGCTGTGGTTTTCATGCTGGGCTAGTAACAGGGTAGAGGGAGTGTGTTACGAGGACGAGCACGGCCGTAGAGGGCTAGGAGGCCTCGCAGGTACAGCAGTCCTGGGGCAGTCCAGAAAGCTTTTCTGCCGTTGGTTGAGGGAGCGAGGCCTGGGAGCCACGGAGGAGGTGAAGAAGGGCCTGAGGGGATGGTCTGTCCAGACTGCAGGCCAACGGTGTGTGTCCCTCCCCCGGGGCAAGCACTGGTGCCTTACTTGTTTGCACACTCATGCGTGCCCACTCCCTCACACACGCATGCCTCACTTTTCCTCCGCTTTTTCTGGGCAGAGAGAAGCCATTGATGGAAGTCCTCCTCCTGCCACAGGTCTCGTTTCCATCTTATGCGAACTTTGTCTTGAAGAATGTGTCTTGAGGCTGAGATGGTGAAAGACCTGGAAGCCGTCTCTTCTGGTGTCTGAAAGAGTTGGGTCTGTTGAGGCAGGAGATAGAGGTCCTCAGAGTCAGGAGTGGTGTGTGAGGAAGAGCCCAGTCTGTGGGGCTGTGGGAGGCTCTGACCTGCACGGGGTCGTCAGGCAGACAGACTCGGCTGCTCTAACACCAATCAGAGCGCTTCTGGCCTCCCAGCACTTGTTTCCTACGTTAATTCATTTACTCTTCACAACATCCCAGTGATGTAGGCCTTTATGATCCTGATTTTCTAAATGAGTTCACCGAGGCCCACGTGGGTTAAGTAGTTTGGCAAGGTCCCATAGATGGTATGAAGTGAAGCAGGGATTGGAATTCTGGCAGCCTGGCTCCTGAGGTCCAGCCCTAAGTCCCATGTGGAGAGAGAGAGAGAGAGAATGCAGGGGGGAGGGGCAGAGGGAGAGGCAGACTCCTCGCTGAGCAAGGATTTCCACCGTCCCTGTGACATGGAAGTCACAGGGCTCCATCCTAGGACCCGGGGGATCATGACCTGAGCCAAAGGCAGACGCTTCACTGACTGAGCCACCCAGGCACCCCTGTGTCCAGGACTTCTTAAATGCCAGATTGGGCCCCTGATAGGACCAGCTGCTGGGAATGTGATGAGCCCGCCATTACTGAAGGCATTTAAAGAGAAACTGAAGGGACCTCTCGTTTTGGGCGGAAATCGGCATTTAATAATCCCTGCTCCTTAAAGGTCTAGGCAGTCGTCTGATTTCTGGTTTACAAATGCAGGACGTTTGCGAGCTGGCTCCTGGGAAGAAGGAGGGCCGAACCTGTGTTCGGGGGTCCACTCCCCAGCGCGCTTTCCATTTCCGGCAGGGCTGGGCAGGACTCCAGCCTGGGACTGGGCTGCAATGCTCCCCTGCCCCATGGCTCTAAGCTGAGAATGTGTCAGAATCACGGGTGGCTTGAAAACTAGATTTCTGGACTTACTCCTGATTTAGTAAATCAAGGATGAGGCAGGAAAATCCACCCTAATTAAAAGGAACCTGAAAGAAATCATTTGACCCTAAAAGTGCTTTTGGTTTTCAGTCATTATGTTGTAAAAAGCTTCTGATGGGGGAAGCTGAAGAGAGAGTACTTTTCACTCCGTTTGTTGAACAGAGAGTTTGCCCGCTGACACATCTCAGGATAAACCAGCACCCCTACCCCCCCCCCCCCCCCCCGCAGAACTGTCTCACGGCTCCGCTGGGTCCTTCTCCCACATTCCCTGTCCCAGCCAGAGCAATGCCATTTGGACGTGCTGTTCAGCAGCGTCTACAAGAACGTTTCTTTGTTCAGGTTCTAGCACTACAGACTTCTCTGGGGAATAATAGTTTTGAAAAATGAGATGTTTGCTGCATGTTTTCTTAAGGTTTACCAAGATCACTGGTTATTATAGTCACAATTAAGCCCAGCAGAAAAAGCACCCGCTCTCAGCTCCAGAGGTCCCAGTCCTAGACTCGGCGCTGCGGTGGTCTATCAGCTCAGCTCACTGCTTCCCCACTTGGCCTTGTGGAACCCTCACCCCACACCGAGGGTGACATTGTGTGGCCAGCTGCCTGCAGAGATCCATTTTGTTAATTGTTGAGAGCTCTGAAATGCCCCAAAACGAAGGATCCCACTTCTGACGTCTGGATTTCTTTAGAGTAGATCCTGCGGGGGACACGGCTCACTTAGCATGCAGCAGAGTGTTCAGGGGAGAGGGGATGGGGAGAGGCAGACGGGGCTGAGGTAGGCTGAGCGTCTCGTGTACCTGGTGCCAGGTGTTGGGGACACCTGGCCCACTGTCGCCATCAGGTGGGAAATGCCCAGGCTGGCTGCCGTCCACATGGCCTGTGTTCCATGGAGAGGGCCCAGGGAGACGGTCAGTGGGTAGACCCTCCTGTTGGCTATGTTGTATGTGTCCAGAATCCAGTAAGAAATGGGGATGGCTCTTTGAGAGATGTTTCTGAGGGTGTCAGCATGTTCCTGAAAGGGAGCAACTGTCCTTGGGCCAGAGGGGTGGGGAGGTGGGGTGGAGGTGTTGTGTGGAGGGTCTGCTGGCTGTCCGAGAGAGCGTGAGAACCTCTGGACCAGGGAGGCTGTGGAGAGGCTGCCTCCAGCCGGGTGCGTGTCTCCACTGGTTCAGCAGCAGAGTTGGGGGAGGGGGGTGTGACACCATGTGGTGCCAGCTGTCAGAGGGTGACTGGCAGAGGAGGGGGCAGGTGCCGTAGGTGACAGTGCCAAGAGTCAGTAGCAGTGATGGTTTTTAAAATCACTGACTTGAGTTGATGAAACAAGGTAGTGGATTAACGTCTTTGCTTTATTAGGAGTGTTTTCATTTTATTCAGTCATTTTTCTTACACCAGAAGGATGCTTCCCTTAGTTTACATTCTGTTTGCTTAATTTGCACGAAGTTAATTTTTGCTGTAATTTTAAATACGTGCCTTTCAGATGCTGGTAATCTTGTAGGGTCTGATGGCCATTTTAAAGCCCACTTAGTGATGATTTTTAAAGAAGTTAGGACAGAACATTTTTTTGTATCTTACAAAGCAGGGGATGCTGTCCAAGGATGATTCCAGGTCTCTTCTGAGCCCTGCAGAGTAGGCCACACTGTGCCCGACTGCACGCCCACTGGGGTGCAGAGTGGAGAGGTCCAGGAGGGGGCTGGGATGGGGGAGTGGGGACGGGGGCAAGGAGGCCTGGATGGTGGCCTGGAAAGGCTCCCATGTGCTGCACGGGCTTGGGGGTAAATGCCATGGGTCACGGCCATGGGGATCACTGTGGCTGGCCAGGGCCCTGAAGGTCAAGTGAGACTGGGACAGTGAGGGCAGGCTCAGCGCAGCACGGGCCTGGAGTCTGGCAGAGCAGCTGGGCCAGAGGCCTACAGAAGCACCGTGACCGTGGGATTTGGGGTCTGAAGATCAAGGGCTTCCAATGAGGACGGGGGCATCAGCTGCTGTTCTCCATTCCCCGTTGCACGGTCCTCTGCCCTGGTGCCGAAGGGTCTGCCTCCTCTAGACGGGCCAGGCCGTTTGGGGCGCTCTGCTCACTGTCTTCCTCGGGGCGGGGCTGCGAGGAGCCGCAGGAACATCTCGCTTGCTTGGTTCCTGACTGTTGGTATGTTGGTTTTGTTCTTCGTCCTACTTACTATCCATTTCATCTGTGATCTTGTTTTAATGCCGTCGTGACCGAACCTCAGGTCCTTGCTCATTCGAGGTGAAGTTTGCTTATTAACTCTAGTGGCTCTCTCCAATGGTGAATTCAGGGTGGGCTGGGCTTCCCAGCCTGGAGGCGGCCTTTTCTTGGGCCCAGACTGGGGGCCACGGACTGTACAGGCTTCTGTGGGGCGCTGCGACTGGGGTACTGCAGCAAGGGCGCCGCGACACACTACCACCAGCTGGCAGGTTTCACCAGCAAGTGGGTTCTCTTACTGTGCTAGAGGCGCAGGGCCCACAACCAGGGCAGTGGGGGGCTGTGCTCCCTCTGAAAGCTCCAGGGGCCGGTCCTCCTCTCCTCCAGCCTCTGCTGGTCCCTCGTGTTCTTTGGCTTGTGGCTGTGTCATTTCATTCTCTGCCTCCATTGTCGCCGGGCCTTCTCCTCCCTGTGTGACTGTCTCTCCTTTTCTTTTCTTTTCTTTTTTTTTTTTTTTAAAGATTTTATTTATTTATCTGACAGAGAGATCACAAGTAGGCAGAGGGGCAGGCAGAGAGGGGGAAGCAGGCTCCCTGCCGAGCAGAGAGCCCGACGTGGGGTTCGATGCAGGGCTCAACCCCAGGACCCCGAGATCATGACCCGAGCCAAAGGCAATGGCTTAACCCACTGAGCCACCCAGGCGCCCCTGTCTCTCCTCTTCTTATGAGGACACCAGTCATACCAGGTTAAGGGCCTGCCTGACCTACTCCGTGACCTCACCCTGACTACATCTGTAAGGACCCTGTTTCCAAATAGGGCCACGTTCATGGGGGATGAGGGTAGGGACTTGAGCATTTGTTTTTGTGGACACAGTCCAACCCCATCCCTGTCTCGTGAGCAGATCCCCCCACCCCTTCACCTGCCCCCGCACGTCAGGTGCCCGCCACACTCTCCCTGCGCCCCACTCCCTCGTGTACCCATGGAGACATGGCGAGGGGGGCGACCCTGGGAGGGAAACGCCAACTCCCTGGAGACTGTGCCCACAGGTGTCCGTGGCCTTCCAGGACCTGGCCGTGAGGTTCTCCGAAGAGGAGTGGCAGCTGCTGGGGGAGGGGCAGAGGGCCCTCTACCGGGACGTGATGCGGGAGAACTACGAGACACTGCGCTCCCTGGGTAAGGAGTCCGCTCCGGCCCCTGGGAAAAGTGAAGGGAGGCAGGATCCAGGACCAGGCAGGTCCCGAGTCACCTTGAGCCCGCCAGGCCTGAGTCTTGCCTACAAATGAGCACTGTGGGAGGTGGTGTTCCAAGAGCTTCAGGCCGAGCCGAGGGCCTTGCGGTTCTTTTAGGCCGTTGTTGTTTCCGTAGTCTGCACCAGGGTTCTGGTGAGATTCAGTCCGGGCACCCCAGAATGGGCAGAACGCTGAGCAGCCTGGGCTCTGAGCATCTGGTGGCCCCATGCTTTTGGGGGTCTAGGTGATCACGCGAACACACGTGTGAACAAGTGCGTGCGTGATTGTGGTAGGTGGAGGCCAGCTTCCTTTCTCAGGAGGCTGTCCCTCCCTCTTTGCTTTCCCAGGGACAGATGGGCTGCTCCCCCTCTCTGCTTTCCTGTCGCCTGCGGAGCCTGGAGGAGCCATGGAAGGCAGGCGCTACGCTGGTGAGGGGCAGGAGACTCCCAGGGGAGGAGGCCCCCTGGGTGAGTAAACTTGGTAGATGAGAGTCAGGCGCTGCTGGGTGTCCTGGGCCCGGGTGGACTCACTCTAGCTCCTTCCACTGGGCAGTGCTCAGGCCCTGGCTCTACTCCTCAGGGAGCACTGTGACCTCAGCCCTTGAAACGCTCTATACCCAAACCTCTCTGTGACCTTTCACCCTTTGCCCCCCAGGGCTGTGAACCCAGCACACTGTTGCCTGTTGTATGCCATGCTAGGAAGAAACTTGGTGTCACCGTGGAAAGCACCCTCTACTCGAGCCCCCTTCCTGCCACTGACGTGGAGAGCCAGCCCGTGGCTCCCGAGGGTGCTGTCATGGGGCTGACCGCTGGGGGCCTTGGATGGTGGAGGTGGCCCACGGGCCTAGCTGGATGGGGCCGAGAGGGTAGGGGTGCCAGGAAGGGCAGAGGACCCGGCCGGTGGGAGGGGGAAGGGAGGCAGCCCTGGCGGTGTTCCCCTCAGAGAGGTACCGAGAAATGAGGGACATTACCTAGAGTCCCCATCCCCCAGTCCTGGCTGGATCCCTTTCACTTCCCAGACATCAGTGTGTCCTCGGCTGCTACCCACATGGTAGGAGGGTGACGCTAAACGCTGGTTGGCAGTCATGCGCAGAAGCGTGAGTGCTGAGCGGACCGAGGGTGTGGGGGTTCACTGCGGCGTCTCCGGCAGGAGGAGCACCCCCGCACAGCCTGCACCTCACTGCCCTGGTGCAGCTGGTCAGGGAGATTCCGGAGTTCCTGTTCGGGGAGGTCAGCCCAGAGACCGAGAGCGGGAGCGGGGCCGTCAGCCTGGACGGGGAGCAGGGGAGCCCTGATGGTAAGTCGTCAAGTTCAAGCTGGTTGCCGTGGGCCTGCCTGTGCCCTGCCAAACCCTAGGTGGGGTCATCTGGGTCACAGATGCCCTGGGAGCACGTCTGCCCCCGAGAGAGAAGGCATGGGTAGATCGTGAGACTGTGACTCCCGGCCTTCCTCATGCTGGCTTCTACTTGTCCCATGGTGCCCTGTGTGGCAGGTGAGGCCAGTCCCTATTCTGGAGATGAGTAGGAAGAAGCCGTGTCCAGTCTGCATGGCCACTGGGGCTCAGTCCCCCAGCCCGTGCTCTGCCCACACCCCCAGTCTCTTGGTCCTTCCTGCTCTGCTCACCGGCTGCTTTCAGCTCAGAACGTACTTCCGTGAGAAGTCTGTCCCCGCCAGCCCTGGCCTCCGAGCCTGCTCAGTGGATGGCTAATGACACAGAAAGTGGGGATGGGGGGATCCTATCAGCACAAGACTGGGGCTGTGAACCTATGTTTCAGAGCCCGGGAATGACCATGCAGAGGATACGGACATCTGGGTTATTATCAATGGCACAGGACAAGGAAGAGCCTGGATGGGCAACATCGGGGGCATTTTCCCTGCTGCTGGGCTTAAGTCTAGTTTTGTGTGTCCTTTCCTCCTCCCCAGTAGCAGCTGGGACCGTGGAGACTTGCGCTTTCCGAGGCCTTCTCAGCTGCCTTCCAGACACGTCCACTGGCTGGCCCCGCATGGCCACCACATCTAGCAGCGGCTCATCGTCCAGCAGCCCGCCTGGAGCCAGGGGCCAGGGGAGCCCCCTCCCCTTCAGTGAGTATGACCTAGCAAGGGCAGGGCTCTGACCCTGGAGGCAGGGGGACTGGACTCTGCCGTCCTCCTTATCTCTAGGACTCAGTTTCCCTTATTGCTCAAGCAGGCTGGCTCCCCAGAGAGCAGGACAAGGGCCCCTGTCTGTAGAGCAGAGAGGAAGTGTGCTTCTCAGTCCCCGAGCCGCTCTCATCCAGCCCTGCTTGCCCAGTCCTCGTGATCACACGCTGTGAGCGGAAGGCGGCTTCCAACACGCGGGCCCGTCAGCGAGAGACACCCTGTGCGCACCTGACCTGAGTCTCAGACCTTCTCACCAAGGCAGCCCTGAGAGCAGAGGCTGGCAACTAGAATTTCTCTGGGGTCTCATTGTATTTCTAGAAATTGTTGCAAATTTTGCCTTTATTGGAATGTCTTTTATTAAAATGTCTTAGAGGAATATGGACTAAAATTCGCTCTCCTGAAAACAGACCCTAATTAGCCTATGATTTTAAGCGTCATCTGGCGGATTGGCTCTGGGTGTCCACACGCTCAGATTTGAGAAGTGTGAGTACAGGACTGGGCCCTGCACGTCAAGGCTGCCGGACTCATTTATTGAGCCAAAGTCAGAGGCTGGATGTGGGGCTTCTGGGTTATTCAGCACAAGCAGTCTTGGTGTTTGCAGTGACACCAGAAGGAAACAGGGAAAGGAGCCCCAAGCCGGACTCCGAGGACAAGCTTGCAGGAGCTGACTCAGCCACAAGTCCAAGTTTCCAGGACTTGGCCGCCCCCCCAGGGATGTGTGGGGGACTGAGAGGCCTGTCCTTTATGGGGAACAATCTGGGGCAGTTCCTCCGGGCCAGGAGCCAGGGCTAGAAAGACTTTCTGTCTCTCCTGTAACAGAAACTGCAGACAAACCAAGATCTACAGAGAAGGACGGCCCAGAAGCCCCAGGTGGGGAGCCCAGCCCTCCTACCTGTAGCCCCAGCAGGAAGAAGGGCCATGGAAGACAGGAGAAAGGGACCCTGGGGACAGGTGAGAGGCTGAGAATGGGATGTGCCCTAGAGCTGAGCAGGGAAGGGAAACAGAGGCATGCTCGGTTCACACAGGCCTGTGGGGCGGCTCTCTCATCTCGACCTCCTGACAGCCTGACATGGCAGGTGTCCCTGTCCACACAAGTGGGAATCTTGGACCTTCTGAGATTCCCATCACTGCCATCATCAGGGCGGCCCTGACCTTGGCTGGTCTTGTAGGTGCCGTGGGAGTCTCCCCTGGGAACAGCCCCTTGCAAGGCCTTATCAACTGTCTGAAGGAGATCCTCGTGCCTGGGTCCCAGTACCCTGAGGTGTCCCAAGGCTTGCTGCCTCCCGTCGCCGGCCAGGGTGCCTCTCAGCGAACCAGAGCGGAGCTGGGGCCTGAGAGCCTGCCCTGGGAAGGTGAGTCCCCTGGGGACCTGTCTCCTTAGGCCAAGGTCTGAAGCTCCAGAAAAGCTCAGGTTGCCTTTCTGTGGCCATTTCTCTGTAAATACGATGTCTTCCCAAAGGAGCGGCTGCTCCCCGATCGTCAGTGGCCTATTTCTAGAGGCAGGCGGCTTTCTTAGGAGAATGACATTTGGTCAGCTGGTAGAAGGAAACTCGGAAACAGACGTGGCCCTGGATCCTCCTGTGTTTTTCACTCGTCTTACTGTGGGACCTCTGAGGAGGAGCTGCCGAGTGTCCCTTTGCTTTGACTCTTAAGTGGCCGCTTAGGTGGGGGCAGGAGGTGGTATCGGGCAGCGTGGCGGAGGCAGGAGCTGTGAAGACTGTGAGAGGCTCCTTTGAGCCTTGGTTTCCCCATCTGTGAAAGGGGATCACTGATCCCACCTTCAGGTACAGTGAAGCTCAGATACAGTAAGGTACTTGTGGGCGTGTGTGTGTGAAAAGCTCGGTCCTCCTCAGAGAGGAGCTGCGCTCAGCGCTCGGGGAACCACAGACAGGAAGGGACCTGTCGCTCGCTTCCTTCCCCGTGTCGTGTCCCGCCTTGATGCTGGCCTTCTCATCTTCCCTCCTTCCTGCTGTCTGCTTCAGGGAGGTGTGAAGACAGGACTTTTTTTTTTTTTAAGATGTATTTATTTATTTTAAGAGGCAAGGGGGTAGAGAGAGAGAGAGAGAGAGTGGGAGTGGGGAAGGGGCAGAGGAAGAGGGACAGTCTTCAGTAGCCTCTGCGCCGAGCACAGATCCTGGGGCCCCATCCCGTGATGACTGCGCCCCCCAGGCACCCCCAAGACAGGCATTTTTAAAGCAAGCACCAAGGAGACAGTGGCCTGTGCAGGTCTAAATGAACCGTAAGAAGACCCACATTCCCAGATTTCTGGACTGTCTACTTTTTGTCATTTGTCGTGACTGGGCTCAGGGTGACAATACGTTCCTCTTTCCTGTAGTGAAGACAGAGGCAGCTTCCGGGGCTTGTCCCCTGCAGGGTCTGCTGAACTGTCTGAAGGAGATCCCGGAGGCCCGGCACAGGCGTCCCAGCCCCTTGGGCGTGGGGCACCCGCCACTGCAGGAGGACCCAGGGGCCTGCCCAAGGAATTCTGGAGGTAAAGGCCACTGGCTGGTCCGGGAGGGCCCCAGGACGATAATCTGTTTCCTTTTCCAGCTCCAAGTGGACCCCCACATCAGGCCCTCGGGGCCTTCCCTCTGCGTGTAGGTCGCAGTTGCCCTGTGTCAGGGGCCATCCCTGTAAAGGGAGCTAGGCATGTAGGAAGTGCTTCATCAATCCGTGGTCACTATCCAGCTTGGCTGTTGGAGTAGAGCTGAAAGTTCCAGAAGGGAGGAATGGAGCATAGGGAGGAGGAGGCTGAGAACAGAAGATAGAGCTCTGGCCCAGCAGACACCTGGGGCATAATATTGAATTGGGCATTCTCATCATGGTCGTGTGGGCTGGGGTCGTGTTTGCACACACTGTGGTGCTGATGTGGCATTCCTCTGTAGAAACGTCTGGAGGCGCCCCACAGGGGCCTGGGGCAAGATGGGGGTGGGAGCTGCTCCGCGTGCTGGTGTTCGAGCCATGACCGCCTTGGAGCCAGGGGCCTTGGGAGCCCCATCCTGACCCTATATCGGCCTCATGGGGGCTTCCCACAGGGCCCAGACCCCTCCAGACCCCTCCTCCTGGCCCTGGTCCCGGAGCTGGCAGCGCGCTCTCCATGGTGAAGATGGAGGACGGCTGGGCCCGGAGCCCCCCTGTGCCTGCATCCTGTCAGCTCAGCAAGTGGACCCGCAGCCCCTCTGCCACCAGCAGCCAGGGGGCCGATGGAGAAACCAGAGGGGTCCAAGTGCCCAGCTGGGGTCCCCTAGCTCAAGGTGAGGCCTGGGGGCATCTCTGAAGTCCTCCGGTGGGGTTCTCTGTCCCACCAGCTAGGTTCTGCCAGCCCAAAGGGGAGGGAGCAGGTCCAGCCCGCTGGGGGAGGACCTGGCAGGCCTTCTTAGGGGGTGACTCCCTTCTCTTCACCCATGTACTCCCTAATCTGGGCCCCTGCCTGGGAGCTGTCCATTGTAGGGACTTCCATTTACAGAACTTTCCTGCCCATCAGGAAGCTGGCCGCTGCGTACCTGTGGGTCTCTCCATGCCACCCTGGGCTGGGGCGCAGACTTGTCCTTGCCCTGTGGGAACAGGGAGTGATCCAGAGTCCCCCACAGGGTGTCCTGCCTGGCAGGCCTCCATGCCCATGTGGGCCTTGTTGGCCCTGCAGAAGGCAGGTTGGGGCAGCCAGCCTGGGGCTGGGCCGGGGGCATGTGCCCGAGATGGTGATAGGACCATCTCCCCTGTCCCAGCTGGCAGTGCCTCGAGCTCACCCCTGGAAGCCCTGGAGGCCTGTCTGAAGGGCATTCCCCTGAGTGGGTCGTTACCTCCCCAGCCGCCGGCCGCCTCTGGATTCCGGAGCCCTCAGCCGGGAGACCCCGGGTCTCAGAGGCCCGAGCTACAGCCCTGCAGATCCCACAGTGAAGGTAGACGGGCCCCTGGGCTCAGGGGTGCTGAGGACATCGTTAGGTCCCCTGTTCCTCCTACTGGGCCTCTGGAGCTGCAGGCCCTTCTGTAGCCCCCTTACTGATGCGTCCCCCTGAGCAGTTCCTGAATGTGGTGGGAGCCCAGCTCTTCCTGCTCACTGTCCCCTCGGAGGACTCTTACTCACCTTCCAGCCCCACGAGACCTGCAGTTGGGTTCACGTGGGTTTTTCAACCAGTGCTTGAGCCCCTAACCTAAGGGGAGACCCTTGGGGGAGATCCTTTGGGGTAGGTGTCCTGGGTGCCCACCCCTAGCCCAGGGCCCAGGGGACCTCTTGTCCAGTGGCTTTCTCGTGATGTCAGCTGTGCTGTTTCCTGCAGAGGTGGCTGGGGGTCCTCTTCTGGCTCTGAGTCTGCCGGGCTATGTGAGAGGCAGCCCTGCCCTCCCGTCAGGTCCCCACAGCACCCCTCCCAGCTTCTCCTCATCCAGCAGCACCGATGGGGACCTGGACTTCCAGAGCCCTGGGGGCAGCCAGGGACGTCCACGGGGAAAAGGTGAGCTGGGAAGCCTGAGGCTGGGAGTCAGTCCTGGGGAAGTTTGAGAGGCTTCCGTGCCCACCGTCATGTGTGAGCCAACTGGGGCAGGCTGCCATGCCCGGCGTCTGGAGCAGAGCTGGGGGGTATCGGGGCAGGAGCGGACACGGGACTTGTCACAGGCTGGCACTGGGCACTTAGCTCCGAAGGGGCAGGACTACATCTAAGACCCCTTGCAAAACAGAAAGAGGTCTCCTCTAGTGTCAACTTTTTCCTTATCCCAGCCACAAAGAAATGCCTATAATATTAGACTGACCTCTGACCTACGAAAAAATATTCCAAGGTTCATGTAAAAGCACTTTAAGGAGTGTCAGTGGTGACCTGCAGCTCGAGTGCTGCCCCGCCCCCGTCCCCATGGGGCAGGGGCGGCCATGGTGAGCTGTCACACCTCTTTGGAATCCCCTAGGACTCAATAATGTCCCCTCTTGACCTTTGTCCCCACTTGAGTTATCCAAGCGCTCTTGGTCTGCCTTGTCCACAGACACTGGGTCCCCCCGTTGCTCACTCTGTATCCCGCCGCATCTGTTGTCTGCGGAAGGCCTAGAGCTGCCCCAGGACTCTGCCGCGGGCTCGCCGTGGCCTCCTGTGCCTATGGCGGCCTGGATTCCTGCGCCCACCGAGGCCAGCCCCTTGGGGCTCTTTCCTCCCCAAATGCAGCCAGCCTTTCTTTTTAAGGTTTAGTTTTTAATAGGTCATCAGTGTTTCTTTCAAAAGCTGTAAAAGGTTTCGGAGGAGAGATGGTGTTGTCCCCCGTCCCGAGTCACCACCGCCGGCCACGCGTTCTCTCAGCTTCCAGGGGCATTCTCCGTGCGGCCCGGCTGGCGGTAGAATTCTAACCGCAGGCCTCCCACCTGCTCTCTGTTCGCCATCTCCCTGTGGCACCTTCCTGAATTTTCCTGCGAGTTTCTCGGACACTCGCCGCAGCCCATTCCCACTGGCCGCCGCTCAGCACCGCCGTGGGGGTTCGCGCGTCGCTTGCTTGTGCGGCCTCTGTCGGGGCACTTCGCTTTCCAAGGAACCCAAACCATAGGGGAGTTCGTACTGCCTTTTAGAAGCTTCCAGCCCAGCTCCCTCTATGGCTCTAGAACCCAGGGAGACCCAGGAGGCCTCTGGGGCTCCTGTGATTAAGCTTCGCTGTTCAGCCCCACGCGGCAGCCGGAAGCGCTGGTTCTCGTCCTTGCTGCCCCGCCCCGCCGCAGCGCACACCTTCGGGAAAGAGTGTGGCCACGATGTCAGCTCACCCAGGAAGGGCCTTTCCGTTTTTTGGATTTTTGGTTCATTTACTTCCTGCTGTTTCTATAGCTTTGTCACTAGAACTACAATATTCTTTTTTTTTTTTTTAAAAGATTTTATTTATTTATTTGACAGAGAGAGATCACAAGTAGGCAGAGAGGCAGGCAGAGAGAGAGGAGGAAGCAGGCTCCCTCCTGAGCAGAGATCCCGATGCGGGACTCGATCCCAGGACCCTGAGATCATGACCTGAGCCGAAGACAGAGGCTTAACCCACTGAGCCACCCAGGTGCCCCAGAACTACAATATTCTGACGTACTTGTGTTTTTGCTTTTTTTTCCCCCCAAGTTGTGACCATGTTAGTGTTGGCCTTCTCAACCTGCTGTGTCGTATCTGGAGGTGAAGGCCCCTGAGCGTTTCCCTCTGGCTGGTGGAGGGAGCCTCAGGGCGGTCTGTGGGCAAGGCAGCAGGGTGGCCTCCCTCCCAAGGATGGGTCGCCCTTGTCACAGCCCACTGACCAGGTTCTGTGTAGATAGCTCAGACAGGCTGGCCTCTTCCAGGGCTGGCCCAGGCAGGCCTGCCCGGAGCCAGGACTGACATGTGCTGGGCTCTAGGTGCCTGCCATGACAGGCCCAGGGCTCTGAGCCTCCTCCCGTGGCCCCAGCTGCCCTGGACAGAGGGATGGAGGCAAGGTTTCTGGGCTTCGCAGAGACTGAGCTCTGACCCTCCAAGGTTGCAAATGTGGGCTTTTCACAGGAAGCCCAGTGGGAAGCTCCCCGCTCCAGGGCCTGGAGAACTGTCTCAGAGAGATACCTCTGCTCAGGCCACAGTCAGCCTCGTCCTGGTCCTCGGCAGGGGACAGGGCGCCCCAGAGGGGGGGGCCCAAGAACTGGACGGCAGACAAGGAAGGTAAAGCATGGCTGCCCTGGCGTGGGTGTTGAGGAGCAGGGGAGGGTGACTGTCACGCAGCCAGCCCCGGCCCTGCCCCCCCACGCAGCTGGCGGGGCTCCAGCCAGCCCTGAGAGGAGAAGATGCCCTGGAAATGGCCTGGGCAGAGGCCTTGTGAGGCCAGGAAGCCGGACAGTGCTGCCAGCCTCTCCATAGTGGGTGGAGTCCGGGCAGGGTACCCAGGGCTGCATCAGGGCCGGGGCTGGGGCCAGGGCTGGAGCCAGGGCTGGAGCCGGGGCTGGGGCTGGGGCTAGGGCCGGGGCCAGGACTGGGACCCGCCAAGGAGACAGATTGCAAGTCCCACCTCCTGCTGCTCCGAGTCCAGGCCTGAGCCTGGGCCTTGGCAACAGAGCATCTCTCGATCCTGGCTGTGTCGGGCCCTCATGCCTTGGTGTCCAGCACATTCGCTGAGCTGTGGGGCCCCCAGGAGTCCAGGTGCTGGGTCTGGGGATAAAGAGGTTCTGGAAGATCTGGGCGGCTCCTGGGAACATCTGTAGGCCTGGCATGTGTCCCACAGCTGGTGCTCATGTGGCCCAAGAAGCCAGCAGTGGCAGAAGCTATGCTCTGTCCGGTGACTTCCTCGCCTCAGTGCTCCACGGGGCTGACAGGCCTCTTCCCGTTGAAACAGGACTGAGAGGCGAGGCCGGGGAGCCAGTTCATCTGGGACAGAGTCAGGGGGAAGCAGCCACCAGCAGCTTCCAGCTGGCCAGCCCCCAGGTGCTTACCTCCAGCGGTGTCCCCGTCTGCTACCAGCGAGGGCTCAAAGACCACGGGGCTGCCCGGCCGGGGCCATGGAGGGGGCTCCAAGACGGTGAGCTGCCAACAGCCCTGGTGTTTTCCCGGCATGTCTTCCCTCCCAGTAAAATCCTCCCCTCTCCTCTTCTCCTTCTGTCCCCGCCAGGGCCCGGGCCGCGTGCTGGAGCGCGTGCATTTCCCACACCGCTGCTGCCGCGCTCCGACGTGTGCCTGAAGAAACCCGTAAGCCGGCCCGCTGGACGGAGGGGGTGGTTTCCAGCGGCCGTGGGGTTTCTCCAGGAGATGACTGGTGGCTTCCCTGATTGTAGTTGTTGCCTGCGGTCCCGGGTGGGCGGGGGACCCCTGCTATGTCCACCGCTCGTTTGTCCTGACAGCGCTGCTCCTTCCCAGCCCGGCTGGAGTGGCTGGCAGGGTCTGGCTCATTTGGATAAATGTGGTATTTCTAAATATTCCCAGCAGAGGAGCGCTGGCTCTGGGGTCTTCCCGTGGACAGGCCTGTCTCCGCTCTCGGACCGCTGCTGCTGAGTGAAGCAAGGAGGGGGCGGCCTGGCTCTCATACCCGGGGCCCGTCTGCGGCCAGACCGCCGGGGCTGGTGCCAGGGACTTGGGACTTCAGGAAAGCTGCCCGCTGCCTTCGCTCGCCCGTACCTTCCGTGGCCAGAGCGGGAGCTCTACAGGGTCTCCCAGAGCTAGAGGGGCCTCCTGCCTGTCATCTGGCCGATGGACTGAATGTTAATTCTGTTGCCGTTTGCCCAGGTGCCGCCCCAAAGCCCTCCCCGCTCCGCTGTCTGGAGAACTCTCTGAAGGGGATCTTGCCTGGGAGGCCCTTGCGCTTCGACTGTTTGGCGGGTCCCAGCCCCAGCCCCGGCTCCAGCTCGAGCTCCAGCTTCAGCAGCTCAGAAGGAGATGAGCTCTGGCAGCTGCTCCCACAGGGTGAGCCGTCCCACCCCTGTGTTGCCAGAGAGGGACCGCCCGGCTGCAAGGCTCCTGGCCCCCTGTCCCTGGGCCCAGGCGGCACCCGCACTGGCAGTGGCCCTGGTGAAGGCCCAGGGAGAGCGGAGCCCGGGGACCCCTTCCGGCTCCGTACGGGTGAGCCCAGGGGCTCTTGGGAGGGGGCCTGGATTCTCTCCTGGCCTGACTCTTGCCGGAACTCTCTGCTTTTGTCGCGCTTGAGTTCCTGCAAGCTGAGCCTCATTTGACAGAGAGGGTGGGGCGGGGCGTAGGGCCCCACGATGGTTGAGCAAGTTGTGTTGAGTGAGGAAGCCGGCAACGAACCTAACACGAATACATTGTCGCTATAACATGTGCACGCCATATGCGCTGATACCGTCTGTCCACGCGTGTCCCCGTCCCCGTCCGAGGGGACGCTCTCAGCGAGGGAAGCCCGAGGCACTCTCCCAGCCCATGTGACTTGTGGGGAGCCCTGTGGACATTTACCCCACTGGGGCTAGTCCTGTGGTTCTTACTATCATAGGACGTGTGTTGGCAAAAGCTGTCAGGGGACTTGGAGGAACCAGATTTATTACACCCAGCCCCTGCGGGGCACGTGGTGCCAGGTCAGGAGGCACAGCAAGAGCCATGCACACGCCCAGGACTCTGCCTTTCTTAGGCCCCAGAGTGGGGTGTCTGGGTTTGGCGGGTTCACCCTTTACTGGGGAATTTAAAGCATCCAAGTGGGAGTTAGGGCACGCAGAGAGAGAAGTGGGGTTTTGAGTGGCCGGTTCTCTAAATCTTCTTGATGCTGGGCCTTCTGGACGGGGGCATCCGTGGCTTGGGCAAGCCAGCCTGGCTCCTTGTCTGGTGGCTTTGCTCGTGGCTGTGCCGGGCCTCCGACAGTACGTTTAGCCGAGATGGATGTCTTCGGAGTGGACGGCACGGCGAGCAGAAACTTTAAGTCGGGTGTGTGTGTGTGTGTGTGTGTTGGTAGTAATATAAATTGTCCAAATTTGATGATAAACAAAAACTGTTCACAGTGAGATTCTCCCACGTGGGAGAACTTAGAGGTTGTCCTGTCAAGAAATGCTGCCTGCTCCCCTGGGCAGCTTCGCTCCTCAGTCCAGGCCTGACCTGGTGTTTCCCCCCGCAGGAAAAGCAGAAGAGAAGACAGGGGGCAGGTTCCAGTTGCCCTGGAGAGACGTGTCCTCGGAAACCCCGGGCCGACCTGCCCCCCCGGGCAGTGCTGGAGGAGGTAGGGGTGCGGTGAACAGTTGGGAAGGGAGTTCTCCGCCAACGCAGGCCCGCGGCTCCACGCAGTCCTTGGCCCCAGCACGGGCTGGGCCACACCATGTTCCTCACGTGGGACACGGCAGGGTGGGCTGGGCACAGGCCAGTTCCCCATGGCCCATGGGGTGCCCCCAGTGTGTGCCTAGAGGAGCCTCACCAGGTTGGGGCCTGCAGATCACGGCCCTCACCGTCTGGTCCCTCCGGCGTTCACCTCGTGGGAGAGCTAGAGATGTCACTTCTGGCTGCAGAGGATTCCAGAACTAATCCAGTCCACCCACATCACACGTGCCCCGGCGAGCCGTTCAGCCGGGGTTGGCCTCCCCGACAGGCCAAGCGCGGCTGTCCTGCACCCCATTTCACCAGTGTTTGAAAGTTGAAAGTTCCATTTTTTAGGCCGTGTTCAAATATCCGCGTTTCGGAAGGGGTATCCACACCCCAGGTGGTCTGTGCTCTTTCCGCAGGGGCCGCTGGGAACCCCGGCCCTGCCGCTCAGCCTGAGAAAAGGGCTGGCCCGGGGCCCTGCCAGCCTCTTGGATCAGTCCCTGGGCCCCTGGCCTGGAAGCCCAGGGTCGGTGAAGAATCCGGGGCTCTGGGGCCTGGAAACGGAAGACCCAGTGTTGCAGGTGAACTGGTGGCTTCCCTGTCTCCTCAGGTCATCAGGGGCCCTTGGGCACAGGGTAGGCAGGGGGTCAGCGTCTGCTGTGGTCTCCCGCCTGCCCTCCCTGCTGCTTAGCTCCTTCCCGCGGGGCAGGCGGTCCAGAAGCGGGGGGCAGCTTGTGCCCAGCGGCCTCCCAGCTCGTTCAGGTCAGAGGCACGAGGGCTCTCACCTCGAGGCCCTGGTGGTTATTTTGTTCACTGTTTCTTCACAGAAATAGCTGGCTTTTTCCTGAAAGTACTTTCTAGAGACAAGCCTACTGGTGTAGATCATACCCAGAATCAGAGTCTGGGGTTTGATGAGACTTTCCAGGGAGATGAGGAAACGGGTCCTGTAGTGCTGAATGACCTGGCCGAGGGCATCTGGAGAGATGGGGTCAGCATCACACCTGGCCCCGGGGAAGCCCTTTCCTGTACCTGGCAGGGGCATGTGGAGGGCGCGCGTGGGGCTCGGTCTCCTGGCTCACCGGGGGACCTGTGCCGGGACCCTCGCCCCAGTAGCTGGGGTGGGGGGGCTCCGACGCCAGCTCCCCACTTCTGCGACTCTGGAGGCGCAGCCATTTTACCGAGGGTGCTGAGCCAGCCCCAGGTCGCCGGCCCCGTTGCCTCTCCCTTCGGGGAGAAGTGTGCCTGCTGCACTGCCGTCATCCTAGCCCTTAGCATGGGATCCTTCCCGAAGAAGCCAGCCGGCCAGGCAGCATTCCAGCCCGCAGGGTCAGGGTTAGGTTGTCCATGGGTTCTCCACAAGTGAGGGCATTCTCCCCTTCCTTCTGGCTGGAGCCCAGGTGCTGAAGAGGGGACAGAGCTGGGCTGGGGTGCAGAGAAGTGAGGGAAGGCAGGTGGGCCCCACCGGTCCAGGGAGGTAAGTGCACTTTCCTGTGAGGTTTGCCTGGGGTGGAGACCCGTTCCAAAGGTCCTTAGGGGAAAGGATTAGGTGATTTTTGTAAAAATAATTTAAGGTCTAAAATCCTGTGCGTCTGACCTCAGAATAGGGCGGGTAGAGGTCAGGACGGATGTGCTGTGCTGGTGAGCGCAGCACTGGGCACTGATGCTGCTTCTGGTCACCCCACGGGAAGCCACCCTGCCCCGGGCTGCTCTGGCCCTCCTGGGTCCCTTTCCCAGATACTTTCCATGGCCTTGGCCTCTTGCTGTCCTCTGAGCTTTCTCCAGACCCTGCTCTCTGACGTGGTAGGGCAGGGTTAGGTGGTCTGCGATGCCCTTCGCCCTGAAAGGCAGTCCTTTTCCTAGACGGTGGGAAGGCCACTCGCTGTTCCGGGAAAGCTCGAGACCCAGTCTGGGGTTTATCCTGTCCATGAATGTGGGGAGCAGCTGGGAGGGCTGCTGCCTTTGATGCCCGAGGCACTGGCATCCATGTCCTCAAGCCTGAGCCACTTCCGTCCCATCTAAAGCCAGGCCTGAGTGGCTGGGGAGGATGCTGAAGGGCCCCCGTCAGGGGAGAGAAAGGTTCTGACAGCCCATGAATTCTGACCCCATGTCCCTGCTTTGGTTTCAGCGGGGACCCACGGGAAGCCACTTCCCAGAGGCCTGCAAGAGCCGCCCGCTGCGGCTGCTGTCCGGCCGGCTTTGCCGCAGGTGCCCCCACCGCCGTGCCCCTGTGGAAGCTGTCTGCAGCCCGAGCTCCGCAGCCTGGGCGCCGCCCTCTCTGAGAAGCTGGATCAGCTCGCTGCGGCCCTGGCAGGCCTGTCTCAGGAAGTAGCCACCATGAGGACCCAGGTGGATCGGCTGGGGAGGCGCCCTCGGGGCCTTGGGCCCAGGTGCCAGGCTTCCTGGCCGTGGGCCCCCTCCCGGGGCTCTCGCTGGGCTAATGGCCCTGCGCACAGACACCTGCCCTACTGGAGACAGAAGGGCCCCACCAGGCCGAAACCAAAGATCCTGCGTGCTCAGGCGGAAGGCGGCAGGGCTGGTGACACCTCAGGCCTTTCCTGCCGAAGGTTCCGCCCGGCATCCCAGCTGCCTCCAGACGCCCCCACGGCAGAGCCTTCTGGACCCAGTTCCAGCCCTTCCCAGCAGCCGCTCTCCTCAGCACGCAGCTGCCGCGCCGTGGTGCCTCTGCGTGCCTCCCTTGGACACTCGGGGGGTCCCCAGAGTCCCTCCACCCCTACAGTGCCTACTGCCGCCTTGTCCCCACAGATGGGTCTGCAAGCAGAGTCGAGGCAGAGTCGCTGTTCGCGGCTGCGGTGCCACCAGGGGCCCGGAGGCGGCCCAAGGATCCAAACAGCCTGATGGCGGGGGTCCAGAGAGCGCTTGAGGAGCAGCTGTGGGGTGGGGAACACAGGGCCCCGAGGTGGGGCGCCCCTAACCACCTTCTTCATCAGCTCAGTCCTGCTGAAGCTGTCCAGAGCCTGGCCACTTCTCCTAGGGGCTGTCCCACGCCCTCACCCTGCTCCGGCCGAACCTTCCCTGCTTCTGGGCCCTGAAGGTGTTGGGAGTTCCACCATTGGCCTGAGCACCCCTGACTTTGTGCCGCTGTTTGCTCAGGGAGGCCACTGTTTGGGGCGCATTTCTCAGCCACGCCTTGGCCTTCTTGGCTCAGGTTCATTCAGGTACTCCGTCCCTGTCTTGTCCCTCCCACTGGGACGGCCCTAGCCGGCCGGGGTCTGGTGGGCCCACAAGCACATGCACACCACACTTGCCTGGCCACTGCGTCATCCACAGAGGGACCACAACCGCCCCACTTCCTAGCATCCGCCCTCCCTGATCTCAGCCCGGAGGAGAGCTTGGCCCTTGTTGTCCTGGTAAATCGGGGGCCTGGGTTTCATTTGGAGAGAACTCTGCCTCGTGGCCCAAGCTGGATTTGCCTGTGTGGAGTCAGTCTAGTGTGAGAGGAGTGGGGTGCGGAGATAAAGGCCCTGGGCTCCTAGGATGGGGCTGCCCGTGGTTCTCTTCCCAGGACAAGTACCTGGTCGGCTCCGCTGCCTGCCTCTCCACACCCTCGGGCGAATTCAGCCAACTCCCAGAAGGCTGGAGAGATCAGCTGCTGAACAGAATTTCCTGATGAGTCCTTGGAAGAGCCCCGAACATCATACCGTGACCACAGACCACAGCCCAGTCAGTGTGAACAGCAGACACTCACTCTCTCAGCCTGGAGGCCAGAGTCCAGGGTCAGGGGGGTGGCCAGGCCTGTTCTACTGACGCAGTGAGAGAGACTGTGCCCCGGGGCTCCCTCCTGGCTTCTCACTGGTCATCTTCATGTCCACATGGCTTCTCTGTGTCTGCGTGCGTCCAGATTCCCCCTTTGTGTAGGACAGCAGCCATGTCGGACTGGGCCCACCCCAGTGCCCTCACTGTGACTCGATCACCTCTTTAAAACTCTGTCCCCAAATAAGGTCACATTCTTAGGTACTGAAGTTAGGACTTCAACATGAATTTGGGGGACACATTTCAAACCGTAACACGTGTAAGGGGCTGGTTAGCTTTGTTGACTTCATCTTGGGAGACGAGGGCTTGACTAAGGGGTCTCCAGACCAGAAGGGCCTGCTGTGCACCCCTGCCCCTCGCAGGTGGCACTCAGTGGTATACTGGGAGTGCTGTCTGTGGCTTACCTGCCTCGTGTCTGTCCCCAGGGTCAGATCTCTTCCCCCAACCTTATGTTCCCACTTTCGTCCTTATTGGATGTGAGGAATCTTCAGGAACTGTCTGTGCGCGCATTTCCTAGGAGGAGCTGCCTGGCAGGCTCTGCCATCAGGGAACATGGGTGCCTGAGCTGAGACCCAGGCCAACTCGGGGCCCAAAAGGGGCTGTAGCCTTGTGGCTGCTGTGCTTGCTCAGGGCCGAGGGACACGCGGCTGGCTGCTGAGGCGGGAGGGAGGGGAGAGGGGCTGGGCTGACAGCCCGTCACTGAGCAGGTGATTGCAATGTATTCAGGACTGAGTAAGTCCCAGGAGGACTGTCTCAGAAGCTCATGTCCAGGAGATCACATCATTGGATGTTTAGGCCGCCTCTTCCCAGGTAGCCATACTTGATAAGAGAGTAAGGAGCAGAAAACTTACAGACTTTCTACTCAGAGACCTCAGGAAGATGAGTCTGTTCCTTTCTTCAGGCTTCTGTGAGCGAGGCTGGGCACGTTTCAGAGCCCATGAAGGGGACGGACAGGGCTGGGGGGAGGGGGTGGAGAGTGCGGTCAGGATGACGAGGGTTGTGGGTGCCCCTGCTCAGCCCTCCCTTGGTCCTGCCCGCTGGCCTCCTATCCCTTCTCCCCTTCTCAGTAGTGGTCACAGAGGGGTCAGCACCTACCTTGGGCATTTTAGGGTTTTGTTTGGTGGACTTCATAAGTATCAGGCATCACGCAGACCCTGTAGCAGGCGTGAAGGAACAGATGAGCTCAGAGGGCATAGGTGACCTTGAAGTTGCACAGCTTGTCCTTGGCGGAGCTCGCAGGAGCACTGCACCCCTGGTGGTGCTTGGCAGCGGGGCACATGCCCTCACCTGCCAGGGAACCCTCCTTCCGGCCTTCATCTCTGCTGCAGACAAGGATGCTGGGGGCCAGCCTAGGCTCTGGTCCAGATCCACCTCGAAGCTCAAGTCTTTTTTTTTTTTTTTTTTTTTTAAGAATGTGGAAAACAAGTAATAAAATGAATGTTAAGAAGCTTCCCGCTCTGTGTGTTTGCATCACAGGCCTACTGCCGCATGAGCACAAAACCCTTTCATGGTTGGTAGCTGGAAAATGTAGACTTGCTAATTTGGTGGAAAATCTGTGCCGTTTAGTCCATGTGCATCTCCGTCACCTGCTTCGCGAGGAAATGTGGTCTTCGGTGAGAGGAACAGAGGGGCCTCTTTGAACTCGGGAATTCCAGGGGCCCAGGGAGCAGGCTTGTGGGGAGAGAAGAGAAGGTCTAGCTCTGCGTGTGCCCATTGTGGGCATTAGGCTGATGGCCCCGGGCTCACCTGGATACAAACCTTCCCCACCCCAAGCTCGCTTCAGGGAGTTCGCCTTCCGCTGCCTGAGGCAGGAAAGTGAGAAGGGGCTTAACTGCTGGAGTCTGAGCAGGCTCCCCACCGCCTCCAGGCTGGCAGAGGGGTCTAGTGGGAGGGGGGCTGCTGTGGGGTGGGTGGGTGTGTGACTGCTGTTGGCTGCTCGATGTGTCCCCTGATGTCGCCACTCCCTCCTGGAGGAGCTTGGTACACTGGCAGGCTAGACTTCACCTTTTTTTTTTTTTTTTAGATTTTATTTATTTATTTGCCATAGATCACAAGTAGGCAGAGCAGCAGGCAGAGAGAGGGGGAAGCAGGCTCCCCACCGAGCAGAGAGTGGGATGTGGGGCTCCATCCCAGGACCCTGGGATCATGACCTGAGCCAAAGGCAGAGGCTTTAACCCACTGAGCCACCCAAGCACCCCTTCACTCCACCTTTTTGTGTGTTTCTGTTTCAGATGTGGCTTCTGTAAAGAGCCCACAGTGCGATTTTATTTTTTAATCCAGCTGGTCAAATTCTGTTCTTTTTTTAGTGCTCTTACTCCATTTATGTGTAATTATGATAGATTTAGATTTTAATATACAGTCTTATTTTGTGCTTACGTTTGTCTCACTTGTTCTGGGTTTTTTCTCCTCCTGCCTTCTTTTTTTTTTTTTTTTTAAGATTTTATGTATTTTTTTTGAGAGAGTGAGCAAGGGAGGAGCAGAGGGAAGACGAGCAGATGCCCTCCCGAGTGCAGAGCCCGATGCAGGGCTCTATCCCACGACTCCAAGCTCATGACCAGAGCCAGCATTGAACCAGATGCTTAACTGACGGAGCCACCCAGGTGCCCCTCCTGCCTTCTTTTTAATTAACAGTGTTGTGGATATTGTCTGTATTTAATAATTTTGTCTTCCTTCTATTAGCCTCAACATTTAAAGAACTAGGAGGAAAAACATCCAAATTTACAGTCACATTTGGAAATTTTTAGCATGTCTTTTTTCAGAAATTGATAGAACAAAGCAGGAAAGATACAGATTTGAACAAGCCAACTAATAAACTTGGCTTGATGGATGAGTGTATAGAACACTGAGCTGTAGGACCACAGGAGGCCATCCTGTGTGTTTCCGGCTCCTGCGGCCGCCTTGCTGGGGTGTGGTGCGGGGCAGCTCCCCCAGTGAGTCCCCAGAGGGCACGGAACCGAGTCCTAGTCAGTGGCCTGGCATTCCAAGCTTTCCATAAGTGGCCACCGCTAGCAGGACACTTGCCACCCTGCGATCGCCCACGGACTTCTCTTCCAGCTGGGCTGGCTTCTGGCCGCTCCCTGGGCGAGCTGAGCCCATGCAGGGGCCTTGGTGCTCCCTGTCAGCAGTACCCCTCCTCGATGGTCTTGCTTTTACTAAGTTCACTTTACTAGCAAAGTCCAAAGTGGGTGCCTCCACTGAGATGCCTGCCCTCCGAAGGGATAAGTCACAACAGGGATGACTGGTACTCAGTAAGCACTCCCTGCGTCCAGGGATGGTGCCAAGGGCTTGCAAGGTATTAAATCCTCAAAGCAATCTTTTTTTTTTTTTTAAGATTTTATTTATTTATTTGACACAGAGAGATCACAAGTAGGCAGAGAGACAGGCAGAGAGTGGGAAGCAGGCTCCCCGCCAAGCAGAGAGCCCGATGCGGGGCTCGATCCCAGGACCCTGGGATCATGACCTGAGCCGAAGGCAGAGGCTTAACCCACTGAGCCACCCAGGCGCCCCTAAATCCTCAGAGCAGTCTTAAAAAGTAAAGCTTGTTATCCCCATCTTATGGGTTCAAGCACTGAGCTTCGGAGGTACTGAGTTCAATAGTTTGTCCTAAATCACAAATCTCAGGCAGTGAGCACCGACTGGGCCTGTCATGGCTGCTGCTCTCTGCTGCCCCTGGCGTTGGTGTGTTCTTGGTGTTTCCCTGGGACCCCGTGGGCTCCCACATGGTAGGATTCTTTCACCAAACGATGTTCCAGGCAACTGAGGCCCATCACTTATGTAGACGTCTTTCTACTGTTTGATGTTTGCCTTGCGGTGAACAGCTTTGTGCTCGTGCCTTTTCCCCCCTGTTTTCAAATCTCCAGACAACAGGACCCCTGAATGTGCATCTTAGGGATCTGGACGGGGAAAGTCTGCTGTTTCTAAACATGTCATTTCTTTGGCATTAACAGTAGCTAGCTGTATCAGTTTTACAAATGTATATCACGGAGTGGAACTGATATTTCGCCCTTTAATTTCAACCCTGCAGAAAATGTGAAAGACTAGTCCAGTAGACGTCCGCACACCCTTCACCCGGAATTTACCAGATGGTAGTATTTAGCCACAGCTGCGTTTTCTGTCTCTCTCAGCCTCTAGCTCTCCCTTTCTCTTTCTGTATATACGTAGATTGTTTTTCCTTTTTTGCTGAATCATTCGTAGGTATATTTCAGACATCGGGGTATTTCACTACAAAATATTCCATCATATATATTTTAGAGGGACAGTGTCGAACATAGTCGTACATAGTCCTACTACTGCTGACACCCTGCAAGAAACTGAGTATCAATATAATAATCATCGCTGCACAGGGGCACGTCGGTTAAGCATCCAGCCCGATTTCGGCTCAGGTCCTGATCTTAGGGTGGTGAGATCAAGCCCCATGTCAGGCTCCGTGCTCAGATGTTCTCTCTCCTTCTACCTCTCCTTCCTCCACGTACATTCTCCCTCTAAAATAAATAGTTAAATCTTAAAAAAAAAAAGATCACTGCACAATGCATAGTCTATATTTAGATTTCTTAATTGAAATTGAAATTCTCCAGCATCAGTTCTTCGATTGTCCCCAGAATGATTTTACAGGGCTTTTTTTGTCCATAATTCAACTAAGAATCATGCATTGCATTTGATTGCCATGTCTCTTTTGTCTCTTTGAATCCAGAATTTTTCCTTACTCTTTTTTCTTCCATGATATTAACATTTTTTTAATCTCTGTCTATCTCTGATAGACAGAGAGACCTTAAGCAAGGGGGGAGTGGCAGAGGGAGAGGGAGAAGCAGGCATGGGGAGCCCGATGTGGAGCTTGATCCCAGGACCCCGGGATCCTGACCCAAGCTGAAGGCAGATGCTCAACTGACCGAGCCACCCGGGCACCCCAACGCTGACATTTCTTAATAGGTCAGAGAATTAGCCTTGCACAATGTCCCATTACCTGGATTTGCCTGTTTCCTCATTATTGGATTCAGGTTCAACATTTTGAGTGAGTCTATGACAGAGGTGAGATTGAGCGCTTCTCCCCTTTTTTTATTTATTTGACAGAGATCACAAGTAGGCAGAGAGGCAGGCAGAGAGAGGGGGAAGCAGGCTCCCCGCTGAGCAGAGAGCCCAATGCGGGGCTCGATCCCAGGACCCTGGGATCATGACCTGAGCTGAAGGCAGAGCCTTAACCCACTGAGCCACCCAGGCGCCCCCTCTGAGCACTTTCTATTCAAGTCGGGGAATCTAGTGTTTATTCAGAGTAGTCTTCGAGGGAGGACACCGTAGGGCAGGTGAGGAACCAGGTTTAAAGAGAGAAGTTGGGGGTGCCTGAGGGGCTCAGTCGGTCGAGCATCTGACTCTTGGTGGCATCTTGGGTCGTGATCTCAGGGTCATGAGATGTGGCCCTGCAATGGGTTCAGAGGGGAGTCTGCTGGGGCTTCTCTCTCTCTGCCCCTCCCCCAAGAAATAAAAAATAAAGCCTAAAAAGGCCTGTTTGGTCTGAATCATGCCCCCCGCCCCTGCCCACTACCAATTCACATGTTGAAGGAAGCCCTACAGCCCAGTGTGACTGGATTTGGACTAAGTAATGAGGGTCACAGGAGGTCATGATCATGGGCCTGGTCCAACGGGATTCGTGCCCTTATTAAAAAAAAAAGAGGCCCCAGAGAACTTGCTCCCTCTGTGAGAAGGGAGAGAGGCCTCACAGGAACCCAGCCAGCCTAAGCCTTGATCTTGGACTCCCAGACTGTGAGAAGTAAATGCCTGTCTGAGCGCCCGTCGGCGGTGTTCTGCCTGGCAGCCCAGGCCGACGAAGAGGAGGCCGGCCCGGCTTACCCCGCCCCCTGACTCTCATGCCCACCGTGCAACTGCAAAAGGGATGTTTTAGACAATTTTTTAAAATATTTTATTTATTTTTGAGAGAGAGAGAGGGAGAAGCAGACCCCCAGCTGAGCAGAGAGCCCAATGCGGGACTCAATCCCAGGACCCTGAGATCATGACCCGAGCTGAAGGCAGAGGCTCACCCAACTGAGTCACCCAGGTGCCCTGTTTTGGACAAATTAACAGGACTCTGCAGTGGAAGATGGGACTCCGTGTTGCACAGCATCTCAGAGAGCATTTGTCTGCGGTTCTCAAGCCTGACTACGCCTGGGGATAAGGGAGGCAGCTCTGGTGCAGTGCGCAGCTGGCCTACACTCCCTATTGATGGACGTCAGCAGTTCTGGGACAGGCCCCAGGAGTGGGTGCCTTCTCCCCACCCTCCTCACCCGGAGGTCCTCTTGCCGGGAGCTGAGTCCTCAGCTTTCTGGGGCTCCCGGGGAAGGGGAGGCCGGTCTCTGAGCTAGCTGACTCACAGCCCTCCAAATGCTATTGCCTATGACAT